ATTTATTTATTTATTTATTTATTTATTTATTTGCTACGAGCCACCCCCTTAGCGTTTGCCGGCTTTTTCAAATTGCCAGCGTTGAATCCTTTTACTTGCGATCTTGACGAACTCAACACAAAATAGAGGGTCTGTGGACAGGATACATGTAAGTGAAAATCTGAATTGACTGGAATAACATAAGATTTCCGTACTACATCTTATTGCTAGAACACAGAGGAACAATTATTATTATTATTTTTTTGTTCATTTGACCACGCAAAGAATAAAAAAACAAAAAACAAAATTAAACGTCGGCCAGCCTCCTTCCCAGGGCTTTCACTTGAATGTTGGAAGAGGCGGGAAACTTTGATTGAAAAGCCCTGGGAGCGAGATTGATATAGTTCACCAATCTTAAAAATACATAAGTGTTCTTGGGAAGAACATCTTTGTACTACTTTTCTTAAACTCGTTAATAATTCATCAAGATGAAATAAAGAAAATCACAACTGTGAAGGAGGTTTGGATACCCGGTCTTAGTTAGCATAGATTTTGACGATTTTACTTCTCTGTTTACTCCTTAGTGTTTGTTTCGATTGAGAAGATATATCAAGCACTCGAGAGAGTGTTTCATCGGCTATCCAAACACCTCGAATTTCGTCAAAAATACTCCGCTGCGCGTCGCATTTTCACTTCTCTTCTCGGTGTTTGGATGTCCCGATGAAACACGGTCTCTCGTGTTTGATATATAGTTTAGCGCCTTTATCTATCACTTATTTTGCTCTCCCTGATTGGTCAGAATTAATTAAGCACTAAATCGATCGCTCTTATTGGTAGGTTGCATGTCATTCAAGTACTTTAGCGTCCTCTAAAGGCTCGTTTTCACTAGCAACGGAGTTGTAGTCGGAGTCATAATCAGAAGCGTAGAGCGATACGATCTAGTGAAAATGAAACTGACGGAGTCAGAAGCAGAACACCGATTCTGCTAATGTCTCTGTCGCTTACGATTGTGTGAACTAGATTGTCGGAGTCGCAAGCAGAAGCCGACGAATAAACCAATCACAATGCTAGATTCCGGGCCTTGTGATTGGTTGGTTCTTCCGACTCCAACAATCTAGTTTTCACTGGATCGTAAGCGACGGATTCGTAAACGGAATCGGAAGAAATGGAAACGTTCCGATTCTTCCGACTCCGATTCCGTCGAGCTTATGACTCCGCTTACGACTCCGATTTTCGATTTTCACTAAGTCGTAAGCTCTCTTATGACTCCGACAACGGCTCCGGCACTAGTGAAAACCAGGCTTCAGGTAATTCCTCTGAAATAAAAGTGACAATATATTTTTGTTCAGACTTTGTCCACTAAATATTTGTCATATGATAACTTCAATTTTAAAATAAAAAAGGGGGATGCCCATGCTCATTAAGGAACAGTGAGGCATTGGAAACGCCCCATTTTGGCATTATTATAAGAACGCATTCCCACTGGTAATTGTAAAATCTTTGTGAGCCAGGACTCATAAGAACACGCATCAAACTACAGTCAATACATTGTGTCGGACACAAATAAATATTTTAAGTTTGATTCAGACAGAAAGTTAAATCCTTGATTAAGAATTTGAACCAAGTTTCTTGACGTGGTTACCAAACTGCAAAATAGAAAAGACCATAGTGTATCTGCTATTTTTCTTATTTATTCAATTTTCCGCAATAGAAATTACATCAGTCTTTTCTCACGCAAAGCTTATGATTAGTTGATTACGATGACGGGAAAAAAATTGGGGTGCCCGTGCTCGTTGGTGAACTAGAGCCATTTTTCAACTGACAGCTAAATATCAAGGCAAATCCGTCATGTTTTCAATATGCGCGTGCACGAGCGCTCGCTAATGACGCCATAAATTATGCGCAGTAAGGATGCGCGATGCAAATGTGAGGAATGACCTTAAGATACAGTCATTCAACTGGGCAGATAAATCGGTAGGTGATTGTTTTCAGCGTCTTCAAGAAACAGTTCATTCATTGGAAGGAAACGGTTTAAAGTACGGGCTGAAAGAAGAGCGACGGCAAAAGCAATCAGACAGCTCTTTAATAGAAGGGAAAGATCTCCTAGCCGTTTCCGACAGGCTGTGGAAAGCTTCACGTGTTGGTTGCGAGAGGAGCCGAGGCTAGCTAGGAATTTTGCATGTCTTCTAGGAGCGGTGAACGGTACAAAAGCAAGACATTGCGAGAAGGCGAGAGTAGCGAGCTCGAGACATTTGACTTCTTCAATTGTGAGACCGAGTCTTATGGTGGCTCTTGTTTCAGCACTTTCCAAGACGATTTGCGACATTAATGGGGTTTGAGGGACAATTCGCCACCCCTTCTTCTGGTCAAGTCATTAACCAGCATTGCAGGCAACCAGATTGTTAAAATCGAGGCCATGAATGTCCCAGCCTGTGATTTGGCGTAAAAACTGGTCAGATTGCGGGGCACGTCGAAGAAGGCAAATTCGATTTAATTGTTATTATAATTCTCCTATCGCTGAAGAAGGAATCTTAGCAACTTGAACAAATTTAAGCACGATTTCGTTGCAGTTGTGTTTTCCAAGTACCTGTTAATTGGCATTTTGTTCATTTCTGTCACCTTTCGAAGTCTTTCTTTTATAGTTTAATACAGTAGCTGTTATTAGTTGCCATAGCTATTGTGTGCTCTTCTTATATTAATGTTTTGTATTCATATATAACTTAAACTATTTTAGACTTCCTTCACAGCATAGAAATAGCGTTTTTCCTCTTCTTTTTTTCATCGTGTGTGCATTTGTGCTCAAGTTTTCTTGTTGCCCTGTATTTTATTTCTATTTAATGCTAATGTTAACTGGCTGCCTGGCTCCGCTAGCCCCTATGGTTATTCCAGGCAGCTAGTACTCAAATTTTTACTTTTGATATTTTCATTGAAATTGTAATTTTTTCTTAAGCAAGAATGAGTACAAATAAAATAAAGATTGATTATTATGCATCATTGGTAAGCTTAAGATTTACCTGGCAAACCATTAACTTCTTTTTCGAACCTCTTCTTGCCTTTCCATCCTTTAAATCGGTGTTTACAAAGTGTCTTTAATTGCTTGCCTTCGCTCAATATGGTGGCCGGTTCGTAATTTTCGGGTTTTCTAGAAAATTTCCTTGGACATTTCGGTTCCATTTGTCCCGGCAATCCGAATGGAAAACAGAAAGAGGGGAGGGGAAAACAACTACGGCTTTAATAAATAACTTCACACCATGGAAGGGTTTCACACTTCACAAGTCTTTTTTTATTAATTTTTTTTCCGTTTTTTTTTTTACACTTTCAAAATTTTGCATTTCCAATAAATACAATTTATAGCAAAGCATAGCATTTTAATATGATAGTTTTTCCCTGCGCAGTGTTGTTTAATGTATTCAGCATCGATTATGTTAATTTAAATTCAAGCAAATGTATGTATCATAAGTTAAAATTTCAACTCTAAAAATAACGAAATATTTATTCTTATAAAAATTTTTATACTGTCTCTTTTTAACACCTTTTGCAAAAATTTCCCTTCATATAAATTGTTGCTTTCTTTTTTAAAACTTATCATAAGCGTCTTTGAACAAGGCAATAACGATATTTTCTTTGACCATATTATTTACAGGCAGAGTCCATGATCCGTTAGGCGTATAACTTTTCATGAACCGAATGTAGTATTGGCAGAATTTCAGAGCTAACTTATATTTAAAATTTAACTCAATCAAGGCAAATACAAACGCGCCAAACGTGAGAAATCAGTGGCAACCTAACCATATTTTCGTTTTTAAATAAAAGTTTAAGAGTTCGCGGTGTAGAGACATAAGTTATGTCAATCTATGTATTACGATCGGATCATAAAAAGGTCGACGTTTGAATTGGCAAAGTCGAACTTCCAGGTTAAGACCAATCGAGAATTATAGTTTCTCAAACTCATTAATAATTCATCAAGTTAAGACAAAGAAAATCACAACCGTGAAGGAGGTTTTGATACCCGGTCTTAATTAGCATCGATTTTGATGATTTTACTTCTCCGTTTACTCCTTAGTTTTTGTTTCGATTGAGAAGATATATAAAAAACTCGAGACAGCGTTTCATCGGCTATCCAAACACCTCGAATTTCGTCAAAAATACTCCGCTGCACGTCGTATTTTCAACTCTCTTCTCGGTGTTTGGATATCCTGATGAAACACTGTCTCTCGTGTTTGATATATTACATAATGAACTTATCAAACGGGCTGAAGTTCCCGTGAGCCGACTGGCGTAAATGCGAAAGATTCAGCTCATGAAAAGTTTGACGTTTGAGTCGGTTTAAAGACCTTACGTACTTTACTACACACGCACAAACCACTACACGTGGCAAAAATATAAATAACCTAAAATAACCCAGACGGTGAAACGTATAACCGAGGAACCGTGGTACAATGCAAATAGTTACCACGACTTTCCAAGCAATAAATAAACCACTTCAAAATAGCGATTCCAGGACAACTCCTGTCGAGCTAATCATTTAACGCACACTGTGTATTCAGATGCTTCATGTGTTTGTTAATATTTTTTATGATATTATTTGTTTTTTACCAACTAAATCAAGCGTAGTAAAGGGTTTATCACGACCGAGTTGGTCAGGACGATCGTTAGCTCCGTGCCACTCACGGCCCTGCCCAAATAACTCATTCACATCGTCAAATAATTATAACAACAATCAAAGGATACATTTCTGCAAAAGACGCCGATCATCGTCAGTATGCGCGTCTTCCTCGAGACCTTGAAGCAAAACCTGGGCTGTCTCGTACTTCACCTTACACTGAAAAAGGAAACAAAGACAGCAAGAGTCAGAACCGTAAAGATGAAGGGGTCAAACAACTGGAGAATTGCCGTTAAATGGCTGAGATTGAGAGAGCCAGTTACCTCTTTTGGATTACCAAACAGCTCATCCAGGGCAGCATTCTGGCACTGAAAAGTTGAAAAAAGAAAAGTAAAAAACAACAACAACAACTAGTATTCTCTTGGTGTAACCTTACTACTTAGTGAATCCCGTCAAGATGATTGAAAAAGCAAACATTCACTGCAGGTATTGCCAGTTGTTCAAAGGTGGAAAAGACTATCCACCGGATAAATAGCTTTCCAGTGTTGACAAAACTAGCTAGGCCATCCACTGGATAGAAAATCTGTTGAAAAGCCAAAAGCGTTACCATCCTTTGAACATCTGCACCACAAATATGTCCTACAAATTTTAAAAAGTCAGAATGAGTTTTAGAAAGACCTATGAGGAAGCAGTTTACTTGGTGCCAATGACGTGTACTTTTTGCGAAAGAAACGACAGTTCCGTGACGGTATAGCTGAAGAAAGCAACAAAACGACACAGAGAAGGAACAACAAACCCTGTCAGACTGCACCTTTTCGCTGAAACTAAACGACAACTTGCAATTCACAATTCCTGGTTATGAGTTCTACGCTGGTCGTAACCGTGCCTGATTCAGACTAGTGACAATAGTTACCTGTTCCATCGCATAGTGGTACATCAGTCTGTCTGCACTGACCTGTGGACATGCAAAAAGTTCAAAATCTAAACTAAGTCTAAACTATCTGTGGTCAACATCAACTACAACTGAAAAGATTTCAATGTGGAATTGTATCGACTCTCTGTGCCATAAAGCGAAAAGCTGCGAATACTGAGAAACGTTGGTTCCCTGCTTCCTCTCCCTCCCGGTCCTTCTTCTATTGCATGCTAACCTTCAGAATGCTCGTTAAGTTGTGGGAGAAATAATTCACATTTATTCTCCTGAGTGGAGAGTGAAGCGCACTTCTTGTCCAAAAGACAGAACACTACAAAACCTGACCTAACCAGTAGGCGCCCAACTCCCTAAGGTACAGGTCAAGTCTATTTTCGAGCCTAGTGCCCCATCAGATGCGCTAACCGTTAGGTCACCGCGCCTCTACATATGATAGTTATCGATAGTGATATCCCACACCAACTTTTGGCGGGATAAATTGAAGGCTGCGATGGACGCGGTACATTAGGGCGGGAAAGTAGACACCACTGCATACCGCCGAATTCTAGCTTTCTGATTGGCTGGCTTACCGTCATGGCTTTTCCATCGAGAGTTTGCAATCCTGGTTCAATGAGCTGCTTTAGTTGTGACGCCTTCTCGAGGCACTGGTGATAACGGTTGTTCAAGTCGTTTAAAACTAAAACAAACAACAACACAAAATCATGATCTGATTGTACCCTAAACTAACTTAGAGCTTTCATTTATAAGTTAGATGCGAGGAAGGCCGATGAAATCAAACGTTATCCAAAATTCTCGTCGCAAAAGTCACTGAGTGAGACTATACTTGCCCATTGTTTGGGAGATTTCAGTAATGACAACGGATCAACTGGGTTCGTATCTAGATTTTGGTCGCTTTAGGCAAGACAAATAAAATTAAGACGCACATTTAATTCCGTGCACGAACTTCCGAATATTAATTGATGTCCAGTTTCCCCCCAGAGGCGCAACGGAAACGATTAGGGCGAGAAGACGACTGACATTACAGACTATATGATTTGGTAAGTGTAGCTGCTAAGACATCTACTTTATTGAGAACTGAACATTTTGTCATAAAACGTTTTAAACAGGCCAATACAGCAAGGTATAGAGTCTTCTATACACTGCCGACAAGCATTTCTTTCTTCTAAAATCCCGCTCCAGAAAAATTCAGGACGTTAGTTATAACGAGCTGTCCATAAGATAGGGTTCAGTTGACTCAAAAACAAAATTAAATCTATATAGTTTAAAAGCTAATCTTTAATCTTATTAATCCTACCATTCTTGACTGCATTTGATGGTTTTAAATGTCCAACTCGGATTTCTCCTTGCGCAAACAGCAGAGAAAGATTGAGAGCACGGAGAGCTTTTACATACAGAACGAGCTGTTCCATTTTCCTAACAAAAGGTAAATAAACCATGTTAGTAGTAGCACAAGTAGCTGAAGACATATCAGTTAGTCCCGTTTTTCTCCCACTCCTAAAAACATTTAACAGACTATTTGAACGCACACAAAAATTCTACTTTTTAACTTGAAAATGACCGTCGAACAGTCGAAACGTTGTTTTTAACGTTAGCTTTCATAGTGAAATCTATTTTACAATTGTCGGTTCAGTGACCTGGCCTTTTAATGGCAGTGAGGCTGCAGCTGACCTTGTTTTGATAAAGACTTCACTGCTTTTGTTGTGTAAATCAAGTTGTTCTTAAGCCCCGGCCAAACGATCGCAACATTTCAACGCAATATATTGCAACATTGTTGGGCGCAAAATGTTGCGCGCGTTTGACCATCCTGTTGCGACGTGTTGGATGCTGTTGGCTCAAGTTTTAAAATGGTCAAATCTGAGCCAACAACACCCAACATGAGCATAACCCTTACCTTCCTAAAACCGTCTACAATAACATTCTGAGTCTGCAGTTTTCGTAAGAGAAGCTTTCAGGGCAATGACGTAGTTTTGCGATGACGAGATCACGTTACAACTTTCGGTGCTCTACCTAGCTAAAAGATTGACATTTCTTCGGGCACTTGAACTAAGATTTATAGCTCTTATTCAATAGTTAGTCAACTGTAACAACTAGCATGCAATACTAAGCATCCCATGGCTATCAAACAAGACCAACCCAACAAACTCTTACTTATTATTTCCGAAAACACGGCGCGAGACACTCGCGAGCACTCCGAAAGAGGCACCGTATATGGCATGCTGCTCGGCCACTTCGCTGGCGAAACACTACAGGCGCAGACGATTCTCGGAGACAGGAATCAAGACTGTAACCTCGCTATTTGTTAAATTTTAGAATAGAATGAGAGGGTTTCTTTATGTACACTGTTCCTCAATGTTCATTACCTTAACTCGTCGCTTTTCAATCCAATCTGGTCTGCGAGGAAGCTTTCATTCTGCGAAATATTTAAGAGAAAAAGTGTTTACCTGTTAATCTTTCCCCACACTACATGAGACAAAACGTTTCTTGAGACCGGAGGAACACAAGACACAGAGAAGTAAAACACGACAGCATGTAAAAAAGCACTTACTTGTTTGATGGCCACAGAATCTGCCAGGACTGTGAATGGAGTTCCCCTAGCACTGTTTACTTCAAGAATAGCATCTGTCAGCAACAAAACAAAGTTGAGTTTCCTTACACCCTCTGTATGCTCCGCCTGCAGTTCACATATTAAAAAGAAAAACAGGAATTAGTTTTCTGACAATAGTCTGAGCATGGCTGTGCGTTTAATTGAAAAGAAAGAACATTCCTCGTATCAAGGAACCGTTTTTGGCAAATTCCCGGCGGAGTACACGAAAAGTTAACAATTGTTCTTGTCCAATCACAAAAAAAAAAAAAAAGAATGAGTACTTCGACAGTTGTGACGTCAGCTTGAAGCAATCAAGATTTACGCCACGTTACTTAGCAACGTCTCTGACAAACAACACGGACTCAGTCTGATGCTGATCTCGTGGACCACCCTGATGCTATAGCGTTCATGTAATTATATCTCTGCCTGGAAAAGTGTTAAATCAAACAAACGTGTTTTCTTACATCCAAGAGTGTGTCCTCCGGCAATTCAGGAGCTATAAGAGCTATAGGACCTTCCATGTCAGGTGAAGAGGCCTCGGTTTCCTGGGCAACCATAAGCTGCTGCTTGGGGTTCTTGGGAGGAGAGTTGTTTCCAAATCCCAGGGTAACTTTAGTGCCTGTCACGTGATTAACATTACAACGCATTAGCGTGAGGTACATGTATTGTACGTTATTTCCGTGCTTAAGCAACCATTTACTCACCTCATCACACTTGCAATTATTATTGTTGTCAATAAAGCTGTAACAATTACAAAATTTTTCTGACTGATTTGCTGAACCAGAAAATCCTGTCTCTTGATGTCGTATATTACAACGTTTAACGCTTACCTTGACTCACAACGGCAGGTTTCTCTCCAGTGTTCTTGTTTGAGTTTTCCAACAGCCTCCCGGGGTGGGATCCAAACAGAATGCCATTTTCGCCACTCCTGGGTGAAGAAGACCCTACAGTGAACAGTCCCTTCAAAGGCTTCATCTCCTGATCCTGATCGACAGCTGCATCTTTGAATTCCTTGCTGTGAGACGTCTTGGTTGGCGACCCAGGTATGGTAGGAAGGCCAGTGGGTGAAGACGACAGTGGCGGACTCTTTCCTCTTAGAGGCGTGTATCCTCCGCCCGAATGCCGGCGGAAGGTGGGAGAAGAGGTTCCTGTCCCAAGTTGGAACCCAGGTGCTGTTAACAAGCTTCCCTTCCTGGGTAGGCCCATTGCTAAGATGGCCGGCGAGCTATGCACGCGTATGATCTGTTTGTCTTCAGCTCCTGGTTCAGAGAGGTCCGTTATTGGTACACCTATGCCTGCATTTGATTGACGTGCCAGAGCGGTCAGGAGTGGGGAGCTGTCTGGCGGCCTAGAAACCAAAGGCTCAATATTTGACAGGGCTCTTCGAATGGTACGCGTTGCTGGGCGTGCAAGCTCCTTGTTAGCGCTCGTGTTTGAAAATCCCGTAAATGCTGGCTGATTTAGACCTGCAGGCATATCAGATCCCTTCACTTGCTCGTTTATCGCTTGGGCAGCAGCGGTGAGTGGCGTAGGAGATCCCTTGGGTATGAACTGCGCTACTTGTTTCTGTGTCACAGGACTACTTTCCTTCAATGGACCGGGACTGCTTGTCGGGCTCTTGCCAACGGACGGCTTGGTGGGAGTGCCACCTCTCTGCTTTCTTGCGGCAGCGGCTGCACCATAGTAGGTGGGAGATGGGGATTTCCTAGAGGAAGCCTGCTTCCCGAAGCCTCCAGCAGTGTTGGATCTTGGAATAGGCAGTGGTGACGAAAATGGCTGACTGCTTGGTGCTGGTCCCGGAGAAGAATTTGTTCGTCTTCTCATACGCATTTCAACTGGAGGGGAGTCTGCTGACGATGGAGACGAAGTTGGGCTGTGAAAGGGTAGGGGGAGTGCCAGAGGAGAAGTGGGTGATGTTGGCGATGTCGAATAGGGTGAACCCACGGTGAAAGTGGCTCTTTGAGGAGTGCGAGATAATGGAGGAGACGGCGAATAGGGGCTGTTGCTGCTCCTCGGGGGTGATTGGCTGTAAGAGGCAAGGAAAAAACGGAAATCTTCGTTAGTTTTGATTAACCAAATAGTAAAACATCTGGAGAGAAGGTCACTAACCCGTAGAATGGGAACAGCGGGTCTGAGGGGTTTCTCTGCTGTTGAAATCCTTGAAAGAGAATCAAAGGTAGAATTCGATTAGCCCATGTTAGAACTGTTCATACATAAATCTTATAGGGTTTTTTTAACACGCAAGCAACACTTTCAAGTTCAACATACAGTATCAACTAGTTCGATACATACATTTCATTCCTTTCATACATACAACACATCCTTTACCATTATGTTACAATATAATCTTATCTTCTTTATAAGAAACTTTTACCTCTTTCTTGGATGTTGTAGTGTGTAATCGCTGTATATTTTTACCATTTGTGCATATTAATAAATACAGCGATACTACACACTAAAACATCTGATAAGAGTTCTATCATCCAACTGCTGAAGTCAATTAACTGATCAGCGAAAGAGGGAGACTGTGACAGTTTTGCGTAACGCGCGCCGACCTGTCGAGCGGATTTTTCATTTTTCAACCGGAAATTATTACGGGCAGATTTGTACTTGCCTCGTGAACTCACAGGCTCGCTCACGCTAATGGCGTTTCGCGCCTTTCATGTCACGCATCATGCATCACGAATTCGCGCGTCATGCTCCGCCACTTCGAGAGACAAACGAGACGGAAAAAGAGACTTTTGCAGCCTTGTACATGCTGAACTGAAAACAAAAAAACACGTGACTTACTAGGAGTCTCTGGATTGGATGGAACAAGCACGAAACCCTGAAAACAAAAACAAAAACAAAAACCTTCAAAAAACAGAACTACCAAAGGTCTTCTGTTCAGAGAAAAAAGTAAAAGATATCCAACAAATTCATAAGTTTCTCCAACACACCTAAACAATGATTGACGTAGCAATTGATTGACACTTGTTACTGTACTTTGAACCCGAGATTTGGGTCTTAAGCGATATATTTTTCACATAAAGGTATAAGTGATGCATATATTTAGAGGTCTAAGTGGTTTAGTCCGAAAAAAATCTATTTAAGAGAGGTCTTGATGTAATATACACTGTAGCATACACGAGAAACCGTGTTTGACCACATTTCCAAACGCCAAGAAGAGAGTTGAAATTATGACGGAAAAACGGAGTAACAAAATCGTAGAAATCTTTGCTAATTAAGATAAAATATCTAAACACCATCACGGCCATGATTTCCGTTGTTTTAACTTTATAAATAAAATAATTATTAATGAGTTTGAGAAGTATTAAGTCAAATACATTAATTTTATGAAAAATCAGCTACAATAAAGAAAGGTAGTGCAACGTTTACTTTCTAAAGTGGAGTCTATGTTTTGTAACTGAACAACAAACCTCAGCGGCTAACTCGTCTTCCTGGGTAGAGCTTGGTGGGTAAACACCTTGAGAACTAAGCTGAGCACTGGAGGCTATGATGAAGGAAAAAATAAAAAACATTAAAAGACAATAATATGATGCAGTTAATGCTGACACAAACAGTCACTAACTCTACCAAAAGCTGCATCTTCCGATCTGCTTCACAAATTAACTAGCTTCACCTAACTTTTGATTTTGATTTTGTGTCCATTACACAGGAATCAAACAACAAAAGGAATGATTACGTATTTGAGGGACTATGTAGGTTTTGTGATACAAATAGAGCCCTAAATGATTGAAAAAAGCATTGCAAAACACTGTTCTGAACACCTTATGAACCTGTACACATCTAGTTATGTTTTGCTTCATAGCCTGCACTAGCCAATGCTACATTGGTCTCTGAGCCATCTTAATTTGGTTTACGTTGTGCATTTTTCTTTTATTTGGGTCCATTTAATATTTTTCATTGCAAATAATAAAAATCTGAAATCTAACAAAAAAGTTGGCATTTACTTGGTACTGCAATTTACTATCAGATGTTTGTGGTTTGTAGTGGAAACTGGAAAAGAATAAAAACTGAAGCCCTACATTTTTTCCCCTTATACAAAGAAACTTCCAATAAACAGTGTAAGTCACTGAAGGGAAAGGAACTTGTAGCATCATACTTTCAAGCTTTGGAAGAGCATCTAAGGACGTTATTAACTACTTACTGTTCCCAGAGGAGCTGATGTTAATGACAGCGGGAGGGTCCTGAGGGGACATGCCAGTAGCGTCATAGGGTGGAGTTATGCGATGAAGCAGATCAACTCTTATGTCGCCCAAAGCTTCAGCGCCATAGTTCTAAAGAAAACAAATTGGGGAATATGTATTTAATTATTACATGTAGTTAAGAACGGAAGGTGTCATGTACAAAAAAATTAAATTTCATCACAAACTTGGAAAGCAAATGTCACATCTTTGTTTCACCAGCTGTGCATTGGGTGCAAATGCATGGTTATTAAACCTGTGATGGACTTACTTTTCCAGCTAAGGGAGCAGCAATCTTCTGTCATATTATCCTACTTATTTACAATGTGAGTCACCATATTTATCTGTAAAATCCAGTCTACTGTGGATAGTGGAAAAGCATTAACTCACTTTTGATCAATGCATGTCGAACTTGAAATTACAGCTTAACAGACTTACTGGTGAATAAGAAGGTGACCTCATTCCCTGGGGACTACCTGAGTGTTTCCGCTGATGAACTGGGACGGCAACTGGGGTGGCTACATTACAAAGGAATGTAAAAACAAAAGACCAGTTAAAATAATATTCACTGCCAAATGGATATTTCTATCCAAGTTGTATTCAATGTATCCAGTGCAAGTTGGAAGTTGTAATTTATTAGAAGTCAATGATAGAAATCCTTTTCAAATATGCACTGTGTACATAAAGTGAACTGCAATGTGACTGGCTAAAAAAGAAGTCAGAATTTTGAAATACATCAACACCATCTCAAACTGTTACCAGTTTTCATTGTCTCATTGTTCTGGCCTACAATAACTATAATACAATATAAACCAGCAATCATTATTTTTCTATGACTTACATGCTTTGTGAGGAGCTCTGCCAGTCAAGAAGGGATGAGCAAAGAATTCACCTGAAATGATAATGTACAGAAACAATGGGTTAACATTCAACATTGATGAGTGAGTTAGTGTCATATTATTTCAGGGTGTCAAAGTCAACATTTGGCTACATGTAGTCTAGTATGTAAGATTTTATGGTTGAAAGGGAACAACTGGACTCTTTGGGTCAATGTATCGTCTGCCAGGACAAACAAGGTGGCTGTTATAGGCCTCTAGGTGGCCATTAGTAGAGGTTCAAATGTATCCCAAGCCACTAAAGCCATTATTTACTTCCTTACTTAGCACCTGTCATTCCTAAAAAGGACTAAATTGACAACTCAAATGATGACCCCCAAAAGGAGAGAATTCAAAGAAAACNTGCTTGAACTACATATGTTCTTTTATGAGCAAGAACACCATCACTTTGAGAAAATTATTTTCAAATATGTTTTTGCTGTTACTACAGAGGTGCCCTGAATTTATCTTAATACACTGTAATTATATATTTTGAAATTAATAGATATGACTTGAAAAAGATCCCATTCCAAAAAGATCCTGTTCCCCAGTCTAAACTAACTAAAGGTCTTTAATAAGAATCCCCCCTTCCTCTCCTTTCACTTGGGGCTTCAAAGAATCTTCCAGTAGGAGCTTTTGAGTTTTGTGTATGAATAAAGTTCTAGTTCCTACACTGTAGTTCCTGGTAGAATTAGACTCAAACAGTATTAAACAAAGTACAAATCTGCCTTAAATGTATGTGCCACAAAGGGATGACAAAGTGACTGGTGGGAAAACAAGTTAAGACTAGTTAGCTATTTAATTCACACACCATGTACATTGGAGATCCACATAATGTAGCTGCCATCATTTCACCAGGAAGAAATCTTGCAAACCCAAAATCAGCTGGAATAAATAAAACAAATTAAGACTTTCTCTTCAAGTAAATTAGACTATGGGAATTACTGATGTTACACATTTTATCATCAGTGCACGGACATAAAGGTACAGGCAAAGCCTAGTGGCCCATCAGGCCAAGTCTGCTTATCTTTGGATCTTTGGTTTCCATAGCATGAAGCAGCTAGGAGTTACTCCACTCTCCCTGGAAGGAATGCTATTCCACTGCAGGATTATCCCCAACATTTACCAAAAAAGCATATCCAAGGAAAATGATTTTTGTCCGAGATAGTGGGACCTGCGACATAACGAAGTTCAAGGTAGCAAGCAGAGGTCCAGCTGTTTGCCAGTAAATATTTCAATCATGTGCAATTACTCAGGGTTGTGCAAAAACATGACCCTAGTTTAGACTTCAAAACAGACTGCTTTGAATGTGGAGGTTAGCGTACTCATCATTAGGCCAACATGCCACCCATACGTAAATGTAAAAGTTCCTACTGAAATTTGCAACAGCCAGAATTCTAATTAGCTCTGCCACATAACTCTGGTGTCTGTGACACAATTTTAGCAACTACATGTACCTGTAAGAACACTGCACTTCTACCTGTATGGGAAGATAGCAAATTGTGGGTAACCTCTAGCATTCAAGTTGGCCTTTTATCTTGCACTGAAAAGTAAAATGCTCAATGTTTCCAGAAACGGATCATTGATAAAGAACAACCCTTACCAATCTTTATTTTGATCTGTGAGGGTGATGGTGTGGTTGTTCCAGAGTGATGCAGGAGTAGGTTCTGTGGCTTTAGATCTCTGTGAACCACGCCTTTGGACTGCAAGGTGCACATGGCAAAGGCTGCAGACAAAAAATGTACTTTGTTATATCTTAAAGAGTGCCTGCCTGTAAAAATCAGACAA